GTGTCATCTGCAAACTCACTGAGGGTGCACTCAACCCCCTCATTCAGATCATCAATGAAGATACTAAATAACATTGGCCCTAACACCAAGCCCTGAGGGACACCACTAGTGACTGGTCACAAACTAGATGTGACACCATTTACCACTACTCCTTGGGCTCTCCCAACCAGCCAGTTTTCAACCCAGTTGGCTGCCACAAACCCATGTTTGAAATCAAACTCATCTCATGTCCCTGAATGCTCTGACATGGAAATAAAGCCGTGCTCCAGAGCTGTTCTCTTTGTCTGCACAGGGACCTGCAGCAGAGCAGACGGCTCAAGCTTGGCCAGTGCTGGCTCCAATCAGACAAAAGCCCAGTGCTGATCAAACTTCTGCTGATAGTAACCTCTTAATCATCTTCAAACCACCCAAACGAGCTCACCCCACCGGAGTGTCCTGCTATTGTACTTTACTGTGCTTGCCAAGTAGCCTTTAGTTTCTTTTGCTTAATACACGATTGAATCCTTGCTGAGTATCTGAGCTCTCGCAGCCGGCCTGATGTGCAGTGCTTTTAACAGGCAGTTTTGCTAATCCCCACCCCTGCAGAACCAAACCCTCCTGCCTCATCTGCACAAAGCTCTGGTGTTAACGTCAGAATTAGAGAAGCATTTCCCACTTCTTTGTCACAAAAAAGAACGCTGCAATAGGACTGTTAGAGTCACAACACCCGGTTCTTTGGGGAGCTCTCCGCTGACAGACAGAATTGCTCTTAAATTACAGACACTGCTACTGGAGATTTCTTAATAGCTCCTTTTTTTAGCTGGAAGAGCCCCAACAGGGTGAACTTGCACCACAGGAGCTCACAGTAAAGCTGAAAGACTAGTTAAACCCCACAGAACTGTTCAAAATCAAACTCTATCATCTAGAATCTATCTTGAGTATTTCCAATTTTAATATAATTCCACACAATGGATTAAAAGAGAGCAATCAGCAGAATTTGCTTAAAGCGTGTATTTCTGAACCAGCCCTTAACCCCCATGCTGTGGCAGTGTGCTGTGTTGTACTCTGGAAGGAGTTCTAAAGGAATTCTAAAGGAATTCTCTCAAGACGCCTCTTGCTCAGAGGAAAACCTTCAAGAGAGGATGCCCCCGAGATGGGCCAAGCATGAGTCTCAAGCCTCACGCTGGAGAGGTGCCCCAGGCCCTGGGCCTAGTGCTGCCCCTAAAAGGTGATTTTTGAGACATTTTGGTGTCAGTTGTGCCTCAGTTAGAGGCAGAAGTGACCTCAATGACATGAGCGGAGGACACGCTGTCCTCCTCCTGCTTGCAGGCACAGCAAGCAGCAGAGCATTACTCGTACCAGTATTGGAGAGCTCAAGAACCCTTTCCAAGAGGAAGAAGAAGCTGCCCCCAAAACCTCTTTGGGCACTTAAGTTCTGTCAGCAACCGCCAAGGCTCAACTTTATAAACTCCTTATAAATTACACCTGCAGAAAGCCAGAGAAGGAAGGGACCTCCCTGCCTAGTGACCCAGGCAGGCTCAGGTAGCAGGGAAGCACACTTGTTTGCTTCCACAGCTGCTGACACAGACATCTCCAGACCTTTTCTTTCATAATTCTGGCACTTGGCATCAGGAACACTGCAGCTAACAGCTATTTATCTGCCCAAATAGGACAAAGTTCATTTTGGGGTAAAGAACATGTATCTGCCTGGTTTTGTGAGCTGAAGCTCAGCAGATGTAATTCAGGGGAAGAACAGGGCTGCCCCTCACCTGCGTGCCCAGGAGGCAGTTAGCAGTGCTGGTGTGATTCACTGACCTGGCAAAAACCTGCTGCTGGTCTGCAGGCAGGGCCATCCCCTCAGCAGTGACAGCCAGCCCTGTGCCAGCACTCCTCCTGCTCACACCAGTGTCTTGGACAGCCCGAGGTGCTGCTGGGTCCTGAGGACAAGAGGAAACCAAAAGCTGCAGCTCTGAGAAGAGCAAGCACCAGAGCACTGGCATTGCCCACTCAGGTTTATTCAACCTGGTGGGGAGAAGAAGCCTGAGGGGTACCTGGACTGACTTTGCTTCTTCGTCTGCTGCAGCAACAGTGTCTTTGGGCAAAGGTGGCTCATCAGGAGCAGTTTCAGTCCTTGCGGCAGCTGAAGAGTAAAAAAGGAAATACCCACAATGTCAGTAACAAGCGCTGAAAAACTGAGCATAAACTTGGGAAAACATCACACAAAGTCTTCACCAAACACTAGGAAAGATGTGTCTGGAAGGAAAAGGTCTGTTATTTGCCTTCTTATGACGGTCAGTAAAAGCCATTGGGGTTTTCATATACCCAGAGGGCATATCAGGGAAGGAACACAGATCTTAGAGAGCTGGGAGAACCTGGGTCCTTGTGGTTGCACACAAATAACACCCCCTCTATTTCAGAGGCTGGGGGGTGGCATATTTGTAATCAGATGGGGTGTGGGAGAAAGAAACCTCTCACCTTAGAGAGTGATAGCATCAAAAATGAAGGATATATGTTCAGGAATGAATATTGGGTGGCAAGTGCTGTACAAGCACATTGCAGAACGTGCTCTGAGGCACTGTGGAAATGTAAATGAAAAGCAGTAATGAAGAGGAGAGCTGGCAGCAGTTTATAGGTATGTGAGAGGAATATCCACCCTCCAGCAGAGCGATGGTGGTGATAATCCACCAGGAGACCAAGGGCTGCATCCCATTTGCATGCAATGGAACAGACTGCAGCAGCCACCCTCATCTTGGATGTGTGAGTTGTGCAAAGCCAGTGGGATCAGGACAGAGCAGCGCCTGCTGAGACCAGTCACCCCTGCAGCTCAAACCGCTGCTCCAGAGAAACCTGCCCTCAGGCAGAAGAAACTCACACCTACGTGGGCAAAGAAATCATATTTCATCACCTCAAGGCTTACAGGGCAGGGCCAGACCAGTCCCGACAGGAGAAGGAAGTCAGGGAAGTAGGGAAGAGGACAAAGTCGGGACAAAGTCTTATGGAGAGACAGAGCTACTGCTCCTGCTGTCAATAAGGGGGGGGCGTTGAGAGCAGGGACTGTTGTTGCTGGGGGTGGGACTTGCTGCAGTAGCAGTTGCTGCCACTTTAAAGCGACTGCCCTAAATCTGATTTTGCAAAAGCAGCTCCAGCCTTAAGCAGGAGGGAACCCTCAGCCTGGCTCACACCCTCCACCTGCCTCATCCACACCTGCTTCCTTCCTGAGGTTCTCCTCCAGGGCAGACAGCTTGAGATCATAGTGAGTCCTCAGGCTACTGATGTCCTCCTCCAGGCGGGCACGGGACACCTGCTCCGCTTCGTAGCTGGCCTTTAGCTGGGCCAGTCTCTCCTCGTACTCCTGAAAGGCACAGCACACAGCTGCTGCAACGGCCCTGTCACCGTACACAGGGTCCCAGCGTGGCCACCTCTCATGTCCACCCCAATAAAACATTCCCATCCTGGATTCACTGACTTCTTCTGTGACTTAAGTTACCACAGTAGTGATGGAAGGGGACTAGTTAGCCCTAGGAAACGCTGTCTTGAGCAGATGTGGTGCCCTGGAAGGAGCTCCTAAAGAGCAACGAGAGTTTTATTTCCTTCTAGCCCCAAACTCCTCATTGTTCCTCCTGGCTCCGTATCTCCTCCTCATCTTCACCCTTGAACTGTTCCTAACATCTTTGACTACTGCTTTCCTCCTCCCCATTTCTCCCTCCTCTGAAAGGAGGAATCTAAGTTTCATTTCAAAAATTCTTCTTGGGAATCCATTCTAATTCATCTCCAGAAAGGTGGGAACAATGCTGAGAGAAAGCAGCATTGTAAAGAAGGCCTCCCTTAGCACAAGTTCTGTCCATAGGAGAAGCCTGAAATAGTGTCATAGAATCATGGAGTGGTTTGGAAGGAACCTTAAAGCTCCTCCAGTCCCAACCCCCTGGCACGGGCAGGGACACCTTCCACTAGAGCAGGTTGCTCCAAGTCCCTGTGTCCAACCTGGCCTTGAACACTGCCAGGGATGGGGCAGCCCCAGCTTCTCTGGGCACCCTGTGCCAGCGCCTCAGCACCCTCACAGGGAAGAGCTTCTGCCCAAGAGCTCATCTCAGTCTCCCCTCTGGCAGATTAAAGCCATTCCCCCTTGTCCTGTCTCTACACGTCCTTGTCCAAAGCCCCTCTCCAGCTTTCTTGTCAGCCCTCTACAGAGGTAGGAGGAAGTATAGTAAGAAGTAGTACAGGAAGTTCTGAAAAGGCTGAACCACACAGCCCCACACTGTACTTGTAATGATTATTATAAAACTCCACAAGCCTTAGTCAAAGACACTACAGGATACCTCCTCTTGACTTACTTCTCTAATCAGCTGCTTCTCTGCTTCAAGATCTACTTGGGGTTTGAGGAGGGGAAGTGGCTTCGCTGCCAGGTGAGCAGTCTCAGCAGTTCGAAGCCCTACAAAGCAAAGCAGAAATAAAAATCACTCCCAATTTCTGGGTGGGATTGTCTGTAGAATGCCTGGAAACAGAACAAAGAACCTGGCTGCTGGCAAAGAACATCATGATCCATGTGCTCCTTTAAACTGTGCTTGTGTGCCAGCATCTGTGCTGCCAAAACGCCCACTGGCCTGTGCCTCTGTAGGTGCAGGAGAGGAGTCAGTGCAGAGCAGAGGGGGAGAGGTGGTGTAAGCTTCAGGTGTATTAAAGTGAATATAAATCTAATCTCCTTCACAGAATAACAGGAGAATGTTTTCCAGGGCTATGTTAACAGGTTTGGAAGATAAGAGGCACTGGGAAGGAGATGAAAGGTGCAAGGAAATCGCCTTCATTCTTCACAGATGTTTCTGAAAGGTGGCAGAAAAGGGGAAAAAATAATCTCACAGTCTTATTGCTCTGCCTGAAGTTGTGCTTTTTTTGGTGGGGATAATTCTGAAAGGGGGATCAGCTCCCTTAGACTGCTCTTACCCATTTGTTCCTGTATTTGCTACTCCTACTTGATAGTAAGGAGCATCTCTGCTAAGGCTGGGCTGAATCCTCGATGGGAGCACACTGCTGCTCTCTGTAAGCAGCGGGCAAAACTCTTGTAGCACCAGAAACTCACAGTGGAGGAGAACAGGGGCTGAGTGCTAACTTTGAAAACATATATATATATACACACACATACTGCTATTTCTTTCACAGCTCATTTTTGCTCTGCCAGCTGAAACCTCACCTCTGACTGACCAAATTCTATCCAGAAGATCAAGAAGAATCAAGGATTTGAATCATGTCATTTTCTAACAGAATCAGTTGTTATTGAAAATACTGGATAATTGAGATGGTTTTTACCAGTGGAATGAGGTCAATTTGGCAACAGTGAAGGAAAAGTCCATTATCAGAATGGAGAACTCTTCCTCCAACAGGTAAGGGAAGGGTTGAGGTGAAATCCAGTGAGCATTTTCTGTGTAAAACCCTTTTTCCTGTCAAAGATAAAACACCTCTGCAGCCATTAAGAGCTCTCCTACCTGCCAAGCTATTCATGCCCATCTGTTCAGCTAGAATGGCCTTCAGCTTCTTAATCTCCTCCTGATACTCCCTCAGCAGAGTATCCTTTGGGTCCTCATTGATACAGGGCTTGTTCTTGATGTTTTTGGCTCGATTAGCATAGCGCAATGTACTGAGGCTCTCGTCATAGTTGTTATCAGCTGGAGATAAGCACGCGACCATCAGGGTCTTGGTGTTTCCCCCAAGGGAGTCCTGCAGCAGCCTGGTCAGTTTGGAGTCTCGATAGGGGACGTGCTTACACTTGCCATCAACCAGGGCTGAGATGACATTGCCCAGAGCTGAGAGGGACAGGTTGATTTTGGTGGCCTCTTTGAGCCGCTCCCCCGTGGCTCCAGTTTTTGACTGTCTCTCACTTCCTGCCAGATCCACCAAATTGAGTTTTGCAGCCCTGAGGTGGTCCTGCCCTCGCTCATCTGCAAGAGAACAATTCCAGGTCAGGCTCCTCTTTAGAGAAAGCATCTTAACATGTTTTAGTTCTTCCCTGAACAAGGTCTTGCACAGTAAAAATTCATGCCTGTTTTTGCTCTCCCAGTGAGCTCTGAACACACACACACCCTCTGCAGCGTTTAGAATTCCACACAAGTAACAAGGTCAGACCATGACTTGTAAGAAATTGGGACTGTGCTCAGCCCGAACCACCCAGATGAGGAGACAGATCTCAGAGAGTGAGGAGACAGGCCTGGTGAGCTGGTGCCATTCCCATCATAATGTTTTAAGGCAAGAGAAGACATGAGCTGAAGTTACAGCTGCCTCCCCAGCCACCCGTGTGCACATATGCACACCTTACACATGTATCACGCTTCCTGACCTGCATTTTGAGGCTGGAATTATGTGTTGACACAAATTCTGTGTGATGTGCATCCAATCGCTTTAGGAAGCCCTCAGTTTCACTGGCTAACTTAACTTTCCCAGCCTCATGCAGAGCGAAGAGTTGGGCACACATTCCCAGATACCAGACTACCGTTCTAAGCACTGGACCATGCTCTTGGGTGTCCATATCCCAACCATTCTTAAGATTGCAGCCTAAATTCAAGGGAAGAGCTCCATTAGTGCTTCATGCAGAGAAAGCATCAAGGTTTTAACCAAGTCCAGCCTTTTCTAGAGAGACTTCTACAAATCCCAGCCTTGAGTTTAGTCAGAGTTAAGATTTATGGATGTGGACAATACCTAAACTTGAGCAACAAGTAATCTGATGCATGGGGGAAAGTGAGAAGTTCACAGGTAAACACCCCTTAAAAAAACTAGATTTTATTGCCACAGGGTATTCCCCCACTTATAGCAATAGATTGTTAACTGTGGGACTTAACATTTGCCACTGAGCAAACTTGTTTCACTCCAGATCTTTCCGGTGTGACAAGACACAGGAGGACTGGGATAAAAAAATACATGGAGCTGAAACAGAGCACCTCTCACTATCTCTTCTGGGTGGACAATCACAAAAAGGGTTTCTGACCTTTTCCCTCCTCCCCCCAGTTTATGTTATCACTCAGAGGCAATTAAACAGCAGTTTTGGTTCCTGCTGGTCGTTTTGCCCAGGGTGACTGTTTGTTTCAGTCTTGGAGCTCAGTGGATTGGTTTCCATGGTGTGACAAGGTCCCCAGGCTCTTGCTAAATGCCTGCTGCAGCCTCAAAGTCTTGGCTCATACTCAAACAGCCCATTGCACAAGCACTGGCCATTGTCCTTCTCATTAACAAATGAATCCCTAAGCACAAGGTAAAGGAATCAAACATCTGCTACTCTCAACTACAGCAAAAATACTGATGGTAACTTGCACATCTCAAGCATCTGCAGCCAGAGAGCCTGGTATTTGCCGTCATTCCTGACTGTGGTACTTTAAAAATTAGTAATTTTAGTCCACATAATTGCAAAGAGAACCTTTAAAATAACAACTCCCTGTAAATTATCATTTACTACACATTTAACTGGAAAAAAAGTTTGAACTACTCCATGCACCTCTTCATGAAGCCTAAAGATGACAACAAACACACCAACTTCATTAGCTATTTCAACTAATGATGACACAAGAAGAATCATCCAGTTCCAGGGGTTGTGCCTGAACCCATAACTTTCTCCTCAGATATTCCAGCTGTCTCCCATCTAACTGCCAAAGCAGCAAGTTTCCCACCTGCCATCCTGTTCCATGTAACAAGTTTTCAAAGCTTTAAATCAGAGAAATTTAAGATAGATTAAGAGCCCTGCACCAATCTGGGACATGAAAGAAGAGTGTAAATGTTTCTTTTTCCTCATTAGGATTAAGGTTGGGATTTTATGGACCCACATAGTGCAGGGATTAGCATCCACTGGCTGTGCTAATTGAGAAAATCCACCACCCCCGCCCCGTATTTTGGGTAGAGGAAAATGAGGTCTTGTCACCAACATCTGGAACCACAATTTAGGAAGACATTGTGTAACTTTCCCATGACTGAAACAGCTGAAGAAAACGAAGCCAAATTGTTTGCAGCCTCAGTGAGGTCAAGAGAGAATATAGGAGACTAATTACTTGCTTAGTCTCAGAAAAAAGCCTTTTGAGGTCTGTGTTCAGACCAAGCAAGGCAGCTTTATCAGCTAAAGAAATGCCAATGGAAATGAGATACTTGAGAAAGGAAAATTATTCACTAAAACATTATGAAGGGATTCTTCTATTCTGTCTTTAAAAGATGAGCCCTATGATTAAACTCGCTGAAGGAACTGTTGCATGAAATGATCTGACTTGCATTGCAAAGGAGGGCAGATGAGACAAGTGATGATAAAAGTTTCTCCAGCCACTGTATGGGCTGTGATATTTAGCCCTCTTCACTGGAGATAAAGGTTTGAGAAGATAAATGAATGGAAGGAGAATTAAATATGTTCCTAATTTGAGTGTAAGACATTTCATTCCCAAGAGGCAACTGAGGAAAGAAAAAGGCTTTGGCTACTCAGCCATTTCACACTGTGAAGAATATCCACGTCAGGGCACAATTCTAATGGCTACCAGACCTAAAAGCATTAGGCTCTCAGTTTAGCTGTGGGGTGACTGGGCAGACCACACAGATTCTGTGCTCTGCCAGGCCCTGGCCCACCACAGCACCTCCAGCTACCTACCTACAGTGTTGATCTCCATATTGACAGTGAAGATGGCGTGGGAGCGGGACGAGTCCTTATTCATGAGGGTGTAACCCACTGCTCGGTTGCCCCAGCCTGTCTCCATGAGCTGCTCACACTGTACCACACTGTGCACAGTGTGCAGAGAGAGCCCCTTCACGTACACCCCCTTCTCTGGGTGCTCCTTCAGCTGCAAACAAAGAACACAAGACAGGTTAGAACAAGACCCACTGAGGCTGCAGGAAGTTATGCTGGGAACTGGAAGCTCGAGGGCTATGGGAGTTTTGCACAGGAAGTTAAACAGCACTACAGCAAAAAAGTATCTGACTGCCACCAAAAAGCCTTAGTATTTCTGAAGGAGGAATAAAACCAGACAAAAAGAAGGAACCAGCTTCATGGCTCTGCAGGGAAAAAGAATTAAAAGTTTGCTGATTGATTCAGATATCTCCCAGGCCATGAGAAGCTCAGGGTCTTTGTGCTGAGCCGCCTTCTGCCTCCCCTGTTATTAAGCTGTGCATTTTAAAAGAGAACTGAAACGTTTTTCACCTATTATGGCAAAGGCTCCAGTATCTCTTCACTCATAGGGAGCTTTTTTTAAAAGCAAAGCACAGATTCAGCAGTCACAGGCACTGTCACTGGTGCTGTGCTGAACCCCTCCGCTCTGAGAGGGCGGCTTGATCCCGCTGACAAAACGCCCAAAGTCACACCCAGCACTCTCAGGATTTTTCTCCAGATTAGTTCATTTTTAAGATGCTCTAAAATCCTATTGAAGCACCTGGGTGGAGACAGAGCGTTAAATACCCAACAGCAGCTTTTCAGCAATGATCAATCATGCAGAAGAAAAACCTCATCCCGCATCCAATAAATGACTGAATGTTCCACATCTTGGCTGACCCATCAAACCTACATAAAAACCCCAAAACAATCGAGATCCTGCACTCCCCCACCAGCCCCCTCCACACTGGGAGTTTTAAAGGAGCTGGATTCATTTTCAATACCTACGTTACACCCCACATCTGCTGAGTTCATAACCAAAAGTCTATTTTTATGGTGGCAGCTGAGATATGGTTGTCATGACTCGGTGTCACGGAGCAACAGATGCCACACTTGGCAGTGTGACTCCCAGAGAAGAGCCCCAGATACTTGGGTGATGCACTTGCCACAAGAAGCGATGTAAAATAGAGTGTTTGCACAGAACTGAGTGGAAGTGGCTGGAAACTAAACCAGGCAGGATTTTAGCCTTGTTCTAGAGCTGTGACTGCCCAGAATGAACCCAGTTACAGAATCACAGCCATGTTCCTGCACTGTGACTTTTGCCTGGGCTATAGGAGAACCCAGTGGCTGGCTCAGCTGTATTTGAGGATGCTGCGAAGCACCTGAGGAGCAGCCGACAGAGGACATGACTGTTTAATTCCACCACAGAGTGATAGGGGCATTTCCTTACAGAGCTCTGTAAAACCTGCTCTTCACAGGGTTTCATACCATGGGACATGACTGGAGGCTTCAAAGTCACCTGTCACTGACGTTAAAAGGCAAAAGAACAAACAGAAATGGGACTTTGGAGGAGAATTGTGGGACACAGGAAATCCCAAACACAACTAAAGGCTGGGTGGAGACTGGATGGAGAGCAGCCCTGAGGAAAGGATGCTGGTGGTGAGAAGCTCCCCATGACCTGTCTTCAGTGTGTGTTTGAGCCCAGAGGCCCCCCGTGTGCTGGGCTGCACCCCCAGACCGTGAGCAGCCGCTCAGGC